CTGCTGCTGCTGCTGTGGCTGCTGCTGCTGCTGCTGCTGCTGCTGCCACTACTCCTACTCCTACTCCTACTCCTACTCCTACTCCTACTCCTACTCCTACTCCTACAAGCATCTCGGCTGACAGCTTACGGCTGTGCCTCAGAAGACCGATGGAGTGGCGCTCACTCCACATAGTGCTATGGCTTTCTCTGCAGAACGCTGGCTGCTTTTCGGCACGGACAATCTATGGCTCCCGGACCCTAACAAGATACCCCTGGATGCACCAGGTGAGTACTCCCGAGAGCTCATACGACGACCGCAAGCTCGAGGGCATTTCCTCTCAAAGCTTGGAGAAGCCATGCTGGCAAATTCGACAGGGTACGTTGCTAACATTCAGTGGTTCACATCCTGGGATTTGGCATGGACAATCAATGCACACCCGGCGGTGGCCTTACAAGCGGCCAGAGCCTCACCTTTTCCACCAGACGAAGACATGCTCAGACAATGGTGTGCACTATATTATCCAGCCTGGGTTCCATTCTTTTGGCCAGTACAGCGAACACAGCAACAGCCCTCCTTCCTGGATCAGATGGATTAGCACGGCCTGCATGGAGCAAGGTGGGCCTCAGTTTTCAGTGTTGACTCCGGTGTGTCTTGGGAAAACAGGTCGAGCCTGGAAATTCAAGCAATCTCTGCTTCGCCGAAGGAGATCCCGTCGCAGGCACAGACAGGCAGCCCTAAACCTGAGCCGCAGGACATTACTCAGCATCCTCTACCTCCACGTGCTCCATTTGGCTGGACTTGACATGTGCCCAGGGTCTAGTCGTTGCATATGCACACTGCTGAAGAGAGTAGCTCGCATGACAATTCAGTTCTGCTGCACGGCTCAACAGCAGCACCGGCACAGAGTGGATAGCCCCTGCCCAGACATGTCTGAATCGGACGAGGATGCCCCCTGGCGCATAGGTCCACCGCCTCCACCGGCAAGCGGACCAGAAAGCGGACCGAGACCACCAGCAGGGCCACCACCGCCGAGAACAATTCAGAGCTGGATGGGGCTCTCCCACGCCTACTCGCAGGCCGTGGCAGGGGTTTTGAACACCCATTACGCCTCTCACTTCCGCGGCACCATCCTGCCCTACTTGCCACCAGAGCTGCAGACGCCGTACGTGGGACTTCGGGACATAGTCGTCTCCATCCGGCCTCTACGACCACATGAACGAGACCACCCCCTGATTCTCCACATCCAGGACGACGAGGAAGCTCATGAGACGATGGAGGGCGCGGACGAGGAGACGGACACGGCCACGGGTTCCGGAGGAGCTGATGGCAGTGTGAATGCCAACCTGCATCATGTGAGCTCGATCAACCCGGACGAGACCGCGGCAGAAGGCACGGATGAGACGGACGAGGGCCCTGCCTACTACTACGAGGACACCATGATGCCGATCTCGGGCGATGAAGGTGCAGCTCCCCACTCGACCACGGGGAGATCGCCCGGCTCAGGGCGGGGCTCGGCACCGACGAACAAGGCCAAGGCCAAGGCCAAGTCCAGTCGGAAGCTCCCTGCCTGTGTTAACAATACTTTCTTCGCTCATCTAAACTCCTCCGGCAACCAAAGACCCCTGTATTCCTGGCTCACCTTTACAGGCGACAGACCCCGGACTAACAGGTGTACTGAAGCCGGTCTGCAGGTTGCACTCTTGACCATAGGACTCCTGGTAGCAGCTCGGCCTAGTCTCTCAAGACATAGCCGGCGCACGGCTGCTGTACAAGCCAGCTTATGGTGCACAAGATTTTGGTGCCACCGGCCCAGATTGCGACGACTCGCCCAGCAATGGAAAACAGCTCTGTTGGTGCAAGGGATATGCACTCTCCTTCTATCGTGGATACAATGCAATTCCTGGTACAGGTACAATGCAGACAGCTCATCACCCCTGGCGGGATCCTTACATGATCGGACATCGTACAATGCAGATTGGCCATGCAGACACCTGGCAGGACTCTGGAGCTTGTTCAACTTCCTGCTCTTTTATGCCGGGCCAGTCTCTCAGCACTTCTTATACAAATTTGGCACAGCCAGCCATGCAGTTACTATCGCACAGAGATTTCCAACAGGTACTTGGCGTACTACCCGTACCTTCAGCCGGGTCGGTCCCAAGTCCGGCCACATCCCTGGAAGGCACGTCTGTCATTTGATTTTCGTGCTCCTTCTTTTCACTCACATTCCGACCGTTGAATCCGGGGCTGTAGATGCGAGGGTTGTGGATCTTCCCACTGGATCCACTGAAGCCACAATTGTGGCGAAGCCAGCTGGGACGCGGCAGGCCAGCGTGCCTACCTTTCCAACACCAAGTAGAAGCACTAAACGATCGTATCGCAGAGCATACACCAGAGCATGCCAACAAGGGGGAGCGTTCTACAAAGGACAATGGCGACCTCAGGCATGGTTCCGGGGGGTACAGCTGCGACCACAGTACCTTCGACCTTTCAGGTCGCCTCCACAGGCACATGTTCCGCACTGGCGTGCAATGTCATGGAACTGCGGGGGTCTTACAGCGGACGTTTATCGAGAATTGGAAACCTATGCCAAAGACTTCAATCTCGATGTCCTCATGCTACAAGAGTCTAAATGGACTCTTGAGGGTACTTGGTCTACACCAGACTTCCACTTCATCCACTCACCAGGCACCGGAGCTCATGACAAGGTCGGAGGCTTGCTCACAGTCATCTCCACCCGATTGGTCAAGGCCGATCAAATACAATTTCGAGCCCACCACGGCGGCCGCCTCCTTCATGTCAGAGTCCCACATGGCAGCACACATGTAGATATCCTTAATTGGTATCAATACGCTGTCAATGCCAGAGAGGGTACCCCGGACCGAAGGCAAAAACTGCTGGTCAAGCTACAGAGGTGCATCGCTCATCTACCTCAACGCAACGCCCTCATTCTTGGAGGCGATTTTAATTGTCCTTGCGAACCACACAAACAAACATGTGGCACTATCACAGTGCCGTATAGTCCCCTGCATTATGTTGACTGTCAGGATCACCAACATGTCTGGCAAACCCTCCACCTCACGGCCCTGAATACATGGCACAGGCCAACACACGGGCAGGTTGCTACTTTTAGCCTCGGCGATCACACTGCTACCTTCAGGGCCCAGATCGACTTCATCATGATCCGTGCCCAGCACGTCACGGCCTTGTCGAAACAAGCTAGCATTGTAGCAGACTTTCCTGTTGCAGGGTGGCGAGGAGGGCCACGACATTTTCCAGTACTGGCAGACGTGCCGGTCCCCAGGCCTAAGTGGAGCCAAGGACCTCAACGATCAGCTCAGCCGACAGTACAGATTGACAGGGAGCAGATTATAGCTGACCTCCGCTCCCCGTTCATCACTCCTGCAATGGCCTCAATGCGACAAGAGGTGGAGGCTCACCTAACCGCACATGTCGATAGCTACAACGAGCTTCTGATGCAGGCAGCCCACAAGTACTACCCCCTCAAACGTCCGACACAGCCAGTACTCACCGAGGCGGAGGCACTTGCAAATGATGCCAGACGTTTATGGAGCATGTTCAGGAGCATGCGTGCGCATCGCTACAGCATCCCGGGCATCTTCACTGCCTGGAGGCAGTGGGCTGAGTTTACCAGGGCACATCGTATCTACAAAGCCAGAGCTAAACAAAGATCGAAACAGCGGAAGACAGATCTTCTTTGCCAGGCGCAACAAGCGGCGGACAAGGGTAATGCACACGAACTATGGAAGACCATCAAATTGCTGGCCCCCAAGGCCCCGAGGAAGAGATTGCAGCTGCACAGGGGAGGACACATGATTACACCCGAGGAGGAACTGGACTGGATCCTGGGCGGCGAGAGATACGCCACGGATGACACGCAGGCTCGCATCACGTTTGAGTTCCCGGAGCATGCAGGCTTCCAACTGCATTCTGCCGATCTCTACTGGTATCTCAGCCACTTGAACCCACGCAAGGCGGTACCTAAAGGAACAGCTCCGGCCGTCGTCTGGAAGGCTTGTGCTGATATTCTTTCCGAACCAGTGATCCACGCCTTCAATGCCTGGCAGGATGGAAGACCCCTAGTGCTACAACGATGGGCAGACGCGGATGTCGCTCTACTTCCAAAGGCACACGGTCGGTCGGACAGCCCTCTTGACTGGCGTCCTATCGGGGTCCAGGACCCCCTCGGCAAGTGCTTGATGAGCACCATCATTCTACAGGCGAAATCTGCAATTCAGAATCTCATCACTCGATTCCCTCAGTGTGCATATGTCCAAAACAGGGCAACAAGCACAGCACTATGCCAGGTGTTTGCTCATTGCAAGGAAGTGCGGGATCGGTGCGCCAAGGCTCGGGTTAATCTACACCAAAAACATGAGGGGCAGCAGAGGGTCAAATGCAGCGGAGGAGTACAGATCAGTTTGGACCTTTCGGCAGCATTCGACATGGTCGAATGGGCCCACATCAAGCAGGCCTTGGACTTCGCCGAAGTCGACTTAGCTGTTCAGGAAGTACTCCTTCTCTGGCTCACTCAGGTCCGCTACATCTTTCGGCATAGGAACCTCCAAGGAGCCATCGACCCCAGAAGAGGCCTTCGTCAAGGCTGCACGGCCTCACCCATTCTTTGGGCAGCCTTCACAGCTTTACTTTGTGCTAACATCGAAGCCAAAACACAGCCAGGCTGGACGAAACAACACCTCTGTCTGTACGCAGATGATTCTCATCTACGTTTTCAATTTGATTCCTTTGCAGGCTTCGAACAGGCCATGGATGAAGTCCGCATCGTCTTTGCTTGCTTCAGGCAGCTCAGTCTACGGATCAACATGGAGAAGACCAAAGCCATCCTAAAAACGGTCGGTACCTTGAAGCATCGCATCAAAAAGGAATACATTAGGCGAACTACCACTGCTCGCAGGCTACTGCTCAGCCCTCGAGAACCGGACCGTTGGCTCCCTCTGGTGGATCACACAGAGTACTTAGGGATGATCATCTCCTATGGTGGATTTGAGCAGCAATCCCTGAAGCACCGGCTCACTAAGGCTCATAACCGACGATGGGCACTGGCTTCTGTACTCCACTCTCACAGGCTCCGCATCCCGTATAAGTTGAATGTCTGGCGAAGCTGTGTGTATTCTACCATGACTTATGGAGTGGCACACTGTGGTCTGTCAGGAGCCCAGGTCGGAGAGTTGCAAAAGGCTGTCATGAAGCACACCAGAGCCATCATCTCCAACCAGGCCTTCCTCACGGGCGAAACCCATGAATCAGTGATGCAGAGATTCAGTATTCCCACAGTGCAGGACGACCTTCAGAAAGAGCTCACACGCACGACCCAGGCCCAGATTAACACGAGCGACTGGATGTATGACCCCTCCTGGCACGAACACTTACAACGCAGGCTGGACCAGCACATCCCAGCTCCGGACTCTGACCAGGATGAACGCTATGAGTGGGCCTGCCCCTTCTGTGAGAGTCTTTTTCCGACGCAAGCAGCCCTTAAAGTACATGCTCGAAGAACACATCAACATGTTGACACCGAGCCTGTTGCTTTCAGTCGGACAGAGCATGCACTTAACGGTCTGCCAACTTGTAGATTCTGCAATAAGAACTTCAGTCGATGGCAAACTCTGGCGCAGCACATCACCCAAAATCGCTGCACCAAGTATCTTCCTTCACGGGCTACTACAACCACAGAGCCAGCTCGGCAAGAAACGATTCAGCAGGAGACTACAGCTGAGCCTCAGCCGCTACCTCAACCATCAGCTCAGCCGATATGTCAGCAAGAAACGGCAGTTCGTGCAGCTTGCAGGGGTTTGAACTCCTTCATCAGGTGCAAGGACATCACTGCCAGGCTCCAGCAAACATGTGCACAGTGTGGACAATGGGTGGCATCGCATCGCGCCATGAAGAGACACTATCAATACACCCATCCGGAAATGATAGAGCAGTTGGGTAGCAAAGCCACTTCCCTCATCAAACGCACAGCTACAGCTTGCCCCACGTGCCACTTTTGTCATGTTCGGTGCAAGGACTGGCGGGAACACATTAACAAGTGCACAGTCATATGGCAGTGTGCAATCCTTTGTCTACAACAGGACGGGAGAGGCGGACATGGAGGAATTCTTCGGCCCGTTACATACGAGTCCAGGGACCTTGAACCTTCTACAGCAGCCCAACAAACGCCGCAGACCACCTGCCGGAAGCTACAGACCAGAACCACAACAACCAGACTTACTGATTACTTTAGCAAGGCAAGTGGTAAAGCAGGAGGAGGAGATCAAGCTGCTGAAGCAGGATCACAGCCTGGTTTTGTTCTTTCGGCCGGGCGAGCACACAATGTTGGGGTTTCTGTACAAGACTGCAAAGGAGTTCAAAGCCAAGCAAGAAGCCAACCCCCAATGGACGCCAGGGCAGCAGCCACTGAAGGCAGTGATGGCCCTGGCTCTCTTCACGGAGCTGGGCAATCGTCTTCAAGCTGTATGCCAGGACCAGGCCAAGGCTACGCGAGCCAAAGAGCTCGGGTGGAGAGACCCCACGGTGGGGTGGAAGTACCAGAGATGGAACGTGCAGCTGAAGGCCCTGGAGGAGGACACCAGTCGTCCCCCACTGACGGACACGGAGGTGGCCACACACATCCAGAAGCTCTGC